ATGTCTCCTATAGTGTGTGAGTTAATGAGGTTTGGTGTGATTGGCTGCCTTGTGATACAGCATGCACCAAGGATCTTCTGGATTTCACAAATGAATTGAGGGGGCTGCTCTACTCATGCATGACTTTGAACTGTTTGTATGTGATGGTGTGCATTTCCCAGAGTCTACTGACTGTAATTCCTTCCCCAAGCCACATATGTCACCCTCCCATTACTAGCAGAATTATAAAAAATGGGGAATAGTAGTTTCAGGAAACTGAAAGAACATAACCCTTAAGCCTTGAAGTAGAAATCTTTCAAAACACCTGGGAGAGTATGCTTAAACTATAGCAACTTGGTATGCACAGATGGTTACTTTCTGCAGAGAGTAACCGTTTCACTGGCTTGCAATAAACTTCACACTAGAAGACTGATCTTGGTATGAAGTGTTTGAACAAGCTAATTTCAGTTTAACCCTACTGTCAAATTCAGAATATGATAGTTGTAATCCAAGAGGCCATGGTACCCTGGTGTGTACATCATATGGCCTGAACATTCTGTCAGCTGTAGGGTTCATTTGGATTTGCAGTGGTGGGCATTAATTTGTCTACTGAATTTTACATACTCCTGAGCATGTGTGATTTCCACCTACTCAAGGATATTTAGATCACCTGCAATTTCATATCCTTCACATCAATTTGTGTTGCTCATTATGCAGAACAGATTTAAGATGTAAAGATGACTTTTCCCAAATCTCTGGAGATATAGTAATGGTTGAACTGCAGGCAAGGAGAGAAATGTATTTGGTTGATAGTGTTTGACTTCTCCATTCTACCACAGATATTCTTCCTGAAGAGATCCATGCATCATTTCTTGAGTGCTTATCTATTCAGACTGGATGATGCTAGGATTCCCTTTGGTCCTAATGGCTGCCTAAGAGTAGAAAACACTACTCTAACATTACTAGTCAGATTCAGTGTGGGCAAAGCACACATCAGGGTTGGGATTTCTCTTGTAGCGAATGGGTGCTGAAGCTCCTCATCCAGTCTGTATAAGAATGAGAGAAATCAAGGAAGTGCTCCACGCTCCTAAACCACTAAACTGTACCTGTGTTGCTCAGTACAGCAAACCATTACAGACGGCAAGAACCACTTTTGCAGTTTTTATAAAAAATATCTGAAAATAGTTGGTCTCAGTCCACACCAGTCTCACAATACAATACCTATTTGTGCTTTTCCATACCACTGGTAAACATGCCTATGTATAGGGGAAAGGGAGCTGTAGAGCTCTGATGTCTACAAATGAAAGTTCTAACAAAGAACCTTTTCTCTGCTTTAGTATCAGTCCTAGTACCACTGCTGAAGGGCTGCATGGTGGGAGGGGGTTCCTGTTTCAGTATCCTTTGTGCTTTGGGGAACAGGCTGACTCTCTCTCTCCTCCACCCCACCCCCTCTCCTTCCCGAACTATGTCAAGCACATCCTATTTCCAGTCCTCTCTCCCTTCTCCTGCAGGCCCTTCCCCATTATTTTCTCAAATGCTGGGTGAATTTACAGGGCTACATGTTAATGACTTCAGAGACTTTAATGTTCGTTATTCTGCTGTTATATAAGCAGAACAGAAACTGTGTATATCATTGGACCATTGTTAGCAGTAGCCTCAAACGGAAACGGCTCAGCCACTTTGGTTGAAATTCAGCCTGAGGCAAGTGGCTGGCATGGAAAACTTCAGCCCCATAAGGGGACTTTGGCAAAATTATAAACGATTGAAAACCGAGTCTTATAGTGGGACATGTCAGGCAGCCTTATTAGGCAGCCCTGCCTCTAATAACCTGTTTCATTCCTTATTTCTGATGTAGATAATTTAACAAACGTGGGGGAGACTCAACTGTATGGAGTATGGGTAACTGATCAAAATGAGGGACCAACTTCTATTTTTTTCTTAAACATATCACGAGGGGCAAAATAGAGAGCCCAGCACTTCCCACATAAGCTGAAAACTGTCACCCCTACCTATGAGTTGTTGTTTTTGACAAAGTCCACGTCAGTGGATAATTTGATCTCTGCTTTAGAATTTTTTCGGGATGGGTCTGGTCCTGGACCAGATGAGATCACTCTGGGCTGCTCTTTAATGAAGCTTTACAGGGAGTAAATGTCTAAGTTGGGTGTGGGATTTGAGCATACTGCTCTGCTGCATAAGAGGAGTGGACTTTTACGTTTTTGGAACTCTCCACTCTGGTGGTGGTGAAAATATTGAATCCTTTTAAAGTTGTGAGTGTTAAATAAATTTTTTCTTAAAACTTTTCTTTCCTAGGTTTGGAGATGGTCCTCGTCCCCCCAAAATGGCTCGATATGACAATGGAGGTGGATTCAGAGGACGGGGAGTTAACCAGCGTGGCTCTGGCTACAGAGGTGGAGGCTATGGTGGTGGAGGCTATGGCGGTGGATATAACTCATACCGAGGTGGCTCTGGAGGAAGAGGATACCAAGGTGGCTCTGGGGGAGGTTATAGAGGTGGTGGGGGATATAAAGGGTCTGGGGGAGGGTATCGAGGCTCGGGTGGGGGATATAGAGGGTACCAGGGTGGTGGGAATAGAGGTAACTATGGAGGTGGGTTTGGGGGCCAAGGAAGGGGGCGTGGTGGTTATTGAAATCCATTGAAGTCTGTCTTGTACTCTACAAAAATGTGCATGTTTCCTTCTGGAACTTCTTTGATGCTAATATAGAAGTCTGTTTGTTATCCTACTTGTTCACAGTAGCTTGAAACGAACTGTTTAGGACTAGTGGTGATATTATGTAAAATAGAGTCCTTACTACAGAGTACCACAGTCTGTATACTTTGTTCTTAATAAAGTGTTCTGTTCACAAGACTTAACGTGTTTTGTCTCTGTATGATGATTGGATTCTGGACTTGAGAATGGCTGTTTCCTTTTAGGTTTATCATTTGTCTATAGGAGGTATGAGAAATTTGGGAGAAACCTCTTTATTGTCTCCAGGGGGTAAACGAGCATGTGGGACAGATATCAACAATTCTTCAGAACTGCAAGGGATTATTAGTCATTGCTGCTTCAGACCACGATTGGACTGAATGGACAGAAGCAGAGGTTTGAAATCATAGGACTTTGTTCACCAATATGTATAGTTAGGTGTAGAATACGCTACATTAATAGTTATGAGCACAGTATTAATATAATATACACCATACATATGTGTTGGGAAGCTACGTTAAGTATTGTGCTCTCCCCACAATTCTGTTCACCCATGTCAAATATCCTACTATACTTGTCAAAGCTGAAATCGTCTTTACAATTAGAAAATAGGAAACATGGCAAAGCAAAGATGCATGAATGCTTTGTAGCAAGCACAGTTAGGATTTACTTTCACGGCTCATTAACACATGGAGTGTAATATTCAAAACAAAATATGGGAAAGTACAGGGCGATACCAAGGACAAAGCTGGCACAAACTAGTGGGTTAACCTTGAAAGTGATGTGTAAAGAGTTGTAACTTGTAAAATCGTTACTACTAGCTGAAATGCATAACTTTGAAGCTAATGGCTGCAAGCATTTGTATGTCTCCTTTTTATTGTACTGCTTCGTCTTTAGACCAGGGATGGGCAAACTATGGCCCGGATCCCGCAGCACTCCCGGAAGCAGCTGACACCATGTCCCTGCGGCCCCTGGGGGCAGGGACAGAGGGTTCTGCACACTGCCCTCACCTGCAGGTACCGCCCCCTGCAGCTCCCATTGGCCGGGAACAGGGAACTGCGGCCCGTGGGAGCTTTGAGGGAGGTACCCGCAGGCAAGGGCAGTGCATGGAGCCCTCTGCCTTCCCCCCCTCCCACAGGGGCTGCAGGGACATGGTGTTGGCCACTTCCGGGAGCAGCACAGGGCCAGGGCAGGCAGGAGCCTGTACCCCAATCCCTTGCCCGAGACCCTTCCTGCACACCCCGCATCCCTGCCCCAGCCCTACATTCATGGCCCTGCATGCAATTTCCCCACCCAGATGTGGCCCTCAGGCCAAAAAGTTTGCCCACCCCTGCTTTAGATAGTATATTTAGTTAAATTGGATTATTTGGTCTTGAACACTTTTAAGAATGATCCATGAGTGTAGTCAAACAATTGGCTACACCTTTAGTCAATAATTTGAACAGCTGATGTGTGGGGAATCTCTTCCTTTGCTTTAGAATGCACTGCGCAAATAGGCCCTGCTGCAGTGCCAGATGACACTGTCACCTTTCACAGCAGATTTACATCCATTTTGGTTGTCTACTGGTTGGCTACTAGTATGTGCTGCCTTGCTCTATAGAGAACTGTGTCTAGTAAGGTAAATAACATGGGCGAGGTTTCTCTAGGTCAGACACAGGAACCTTCAAGAGAAGTGTTTGAGGTTAATGTAGCAATGTTTGCAGACTCTGAAATTAACTCAGAGGTATGAAAAACCCCATTCATCTAAACAGATATTAACATACAATGTTGACAGTTAAGCAGTGAAATAACCTGTATGATGAGAGAGGATTTCTGTTCTCTACCCATTCTACTAGGAGTGGCAGCATTTTAGGACAATGAGTAAGGGCAAAGGACCCTCAGAGTCCTGCATGTATCTGACCTGGTGCAAAGGGGAGCCAAACTAACTCAGAGGGGCAAGCACAGGGAATCCAGCAGGAATCCAGCAGAACTCCATGTGTGTATGTATGCTAACAGAGCCAAGGCCAGAGAATGTGATATCTCATGCTTGTAATCGGGTGCTGTCTCACATGAAGAGCTATGGACAGAACTTGAGTGTCACAACCTTCCCCTTCCCCCCACCACCTCTGATTTTAGGGGTTTAACTCTAAAAGAAACAGCCTACCCCTCCCATAAGCGACAGAAATAATTAGCAGTAGAGTTCAGTAATAACCAACCTGAGCTGGATGTAAACTGGTAATGTATTGCTTAAAGACTTTATTCCATTACCAACTATCTGAGCTATCCACTCCTATTTTTTCCTTTAGTTTACTGTATGGTGCACCTTTTTCTCCTTACTTTTGATTTCCTTAATCTTAGTATAAGGTATAATATACCCTATTATACTAAATTACTGCGGATGTACGCTGAAACAAATACGCAGAAAACTGTATTTTGTAATTAGATGTGTATATAAAAAACAAAAAAATAAACCAAAAAACCCAACTTTAAACTGAAACAGATATATATGGCTGAGGGAGAACAGATTTTGCACAATTTTTATCCTCTTGGCTACTGAGCTTGTTAAGTGATATATGAATACTGCTAAGAATCCCTCAAGGTTTCTCTTGTTAATGGTACTGGGAAGTTCTTACTCCTGTTTTAGTAAGGTGGGAGAAGGCAGTGGGCTGATCTCTTGCTAACCACCATTGATGCTGTAACCTATTGTGGACTCAAACTACAGGCAATGAAAACTAAATTTAAATTAGTTGTCTTACACTGAGAAAATATAAATCTATATAATGGGGAAAATTCTATATAGTACAGCTTTCTGCAGCCCAGTGTCTCCCACAATTCTGCTACTTATAGGCTATTCCCCCACTCCTGTCTGCTTCTTTCAGAGGCAATTAAAAGCTGTAGCATAGCCTGTGCTAGACACAATCCCTTTCTTGACCTGAGGGCAAGATATTGCCTCCACCCAGCAATCAGTGGTGGTTCTCTCCGCTCCTAACCTTGCCTTTTACATTTTTTCATTTTAAGGCATTAGCAAGCAGCCTTCTTTGTTCTCTCCTCCTCCTGGACCAAGTATTTAGAAGCAGGTGGCTGAAGCCACCCAGAGTCTCCACTGCAGTGCCTCTCTGCTGAGCTCTTCTTCCTCCTTTCAGGGATAGTGCAGCAGCTGCACCACGGTGGCTAAGCCTGAAAGGCTCTACAGATAGCAAATTATGCCCTGCCTATTCTCAGCCAGCTGACCATAGCACGGCTAGGCACAGAGTTTGGAGTTGGACAGGCATGTTGAGACTCCTATTGCTTCAAGAAGCTGTGATTTCATTCCAGAAATGCCCAACGGGGCAGAAAGAGCAGAACAGGGAGACCTAAGGATTGGGATTTCATTCAGCTGGCCCAGGGGCTAAATCCTGAAGTTTGAAACCATGTGCAAAAAAGTGGTATCCACAATCCAGATCCAATCTAAGCAGGCCTCTAAGGTAAGCCTCAGAGTAAATACCTCCCTTCCAAATTTTCTCCTTACACAGTGATTCCCCTGCACTCTTCGAAGAAGTAATCAGGGAGGAATGGGAGTCTCTTGAAAAGGGTAAACGCTAACAGGCAGGTTCTGATTCTACAAGCAGAAAGAGCCAAACAATGCTCTCTCAGATGTACTTAAGATTGATGCTGCTATAGCACCTCTACCAAAAGATATGGTTATTCCAACTGAAGGGGACTTCTTCCCCAAGGATCCAGTGGACAGCAAGGTGGAAGGCCATCCTTGGAAGGGAATCTGATGCCTCCTCAGAGCATCTCTGGCAGCCACAGGCTTTGCTTGAGTCACAATGTCATGGCTAGAGGACTTTAAAGCCCTAAAGGGCAGAGACCAACTGGACTTAAGAAAATCTCCTAAACAACAGCATTGGTGGCAGATGCTTCAATGGATGCTATAAGATTTTTCTGCCCATATCACAGCATCCAGCTCAGCAGCCAAGAGATACATGGCTTCATCTCTGTAAGGTAGATATTCAATCCAAACAAATCCTGTGCTCCTCTGAATTCACAGGACCTCCCCTGGGAGAAAAATTAGACAAGAGTCTAACAGTCCCTCCCCTCTCCAGTTAGTGTTCAAAAAACGGACTACAAAGCTACTATCAGACAGACACTCCTTTTTTCCACCTTCCTCACAGAGGTTCCAGAGGAAAGATAACACACGTTAAGAGAGAACCTTGGAACTGAGAAGTGATCAGAAAACCTAAGGCTGGCTTCCACAACCTCCATGAGTTTATTATGACAATGAATGAGTGTGCCTCTACCTAGACCTCAGTTTAGAGGCAGAATCTCAATTTCCAGATGAACGTCTTGCTTTTACCACACACAAGTAGATGCGAGAGAGGGTGCACCAGGGATACTTCCTCATGCTAAGGGCCCTGCCTCCTCGCTTCTTCATCCAGTCTCCAATAACGAGTGACCCCACAAAGCATTAGTAGGTCTGCAATGAGATTTCCCATCTGGACATAGGAGTGATAGACGTTCCCCCAGAAGAACACTGCTCAAAGTTTTTACTCCTCCTTCGTTGTTCAGAAGTGCGCTGGAGAAGTCAGGGCCATACTCAACCTCTTCAAAAACAGATGAAGAAAATTCTGGATGGAGTCCCTAGCTTTGATAGTGACATTCCTGTCTCAAGGCCATTTCCTAACCTCAGTGGATTTGGCAGACTCAGCCTCCACGTTCCACCACAGGCTTTTAAGATCACTACCAGTACTGAACACTGACATTTGGTCTCTTGGTCCCCAGGGATTTATGAAGATGCTGGCAGTGATCATGGGCAGACTCAAATCCCAGAGTATTCACCTGTATCCCTTTCTGGATGAGCCCTGTCCCACAGCACGTAGGGCCACGATCTGGACTCTGAATCTTCTGCAACCACATGGATTTGCGATAAACACAAAGAAAAGTTTCTGGATTCCGTTGACGAGGATTATTCATCTGGATGTGGAAGAACACGTTAACAACACTGATCTATCAACCATCACTTAACAGATTCCAGAAGATTCACGATCTGATATCCATGCTGGACCAGTGCATGAGCCCAACCATAGCCGTGCAGCTTCAGCTACTGAGCCTCCTGGTCTCATGCACAGGAATCTCCTCATGGGCAAGGTCACACATCAGGTGCCTCCATGGCCTTTCTTCTGAAAGTATGAGACCAATCCCTGGAGCACATGCAAAATCAGGTACTAGTCTGAAACCAGATTGCTCTGTGGAATTTGCCCGGGATTGCCCATCTCAGGGAGTCAGTCTCCATATACCTTCCAGACTGTCAGATTCTTACCAATGCCAGCCTAGACAGATGGGGAGCACATCTGAAGCTCGGGGAAAGGAATCTCAGCATCAATCTCTTGGAGCTCAGAGGGTCAAACCAGCTGTTCGAAATTCCAGAGACATGTGGAAGGCAACTACATCATGGTAAGTCAGACAGCATGACAATGGTTGCATACATACACAACTAAGGAGGGAGAAGCAGCGTTGGAGATAAAGGTGTGGGCAGAAAAGATTCTCCGTTACCTAAAAATAATCCACATAAAAGAGGAACTGAACCGAAAGGCAAACTAGCTCAGCCATTACAATTAATAATTACAGAATTATCTTCAATCTGATCACATAGATGTTTGGTTCCCATCAACTGACCGGCTTGCCAATCATAAGAATGCAAAGTGGCTGAAATACTTCCCCAGGGAAGCAGATCCAAGTCTATGGGAACAGATGCTCTGTCAAACAGATGGTCTCAAGGCTGACTGTGCACGTTCCCACCCTTCTTTCTCATAGGGAAAATGAGCCAAAAGATGAGGCAAGAAAAAGCGAGGATGATGTTAACTCTCCCCTGGCCATGGAGACCCGGGTTCTCTGACATGATAGATCTAAAGCTGAAACCACCATTGCAGCTACTGGTGAGCTCAGACATCCTTTATCAAGGACCATTTCTCCATCTGGATGCAGCCCATCTTCATCTGACAGCCTGGCTGTTAAAAGGGATGTGTTAGCCCCATGTGGCACATCTTCCAAAGTGATAGGGATTCTGCTGTCTTCCAGGAGGGGTTCCACACTAAAATCCTATTTCACCGGCTGGACCAAATTCAGCAGTTGGTGTCGAGCACAGAGTAAATCCAAGAGATCATGGGACTCCAGTTAAATTGGACTTTCTTCAGAAAGGAGTGGATAAGAGTTCATGCCAAACACCACAGCTTGCCAAGTGTCAGCCCTTTGTAGTGTACTGGTTTGCAGTATCATTTGGCTCCCTGGCCAATAAGCCTCAGGTATCCAGGCTCCTCATAGAAGTTTTACTGGCCAGATCAGTTGTCAGACTGATTTTCCTGAAGTGGGACCTACCACTGGTGTTGAAAGCCCTAACCATCCTTCCCTTCGAGCCTTGGACATAGCTGTATCACGTTACCTCTCCATCAAAACCTGTTTTCTGGTTGCTATCACAACCACCAGATAAGGCTGCTAATTCTGGAACTCATCTATGCAGGAACCTTATTATGTGTTCCATGATGGTAAGGGTGGTGCTAAGAATTTCAAAAGTGTTCTTGCATAAGGAGAATTCTCCTTTCCATGTCTCATAGGAGACTCCTCCCTTCATTCTGTCCACAGCCACTGACTGGGAAGCTGTGGCACACTTTAGATGTCAGATGAGCACTAAAGATTTATATTAAGTGTACAGAATCTATAAGGAGATCAGGCTCTCTGTTGGCTTCTTTTCACCCAACATGCCAGGGCCTTAGGGTATCCAAGCTGTCCTTGGTTGGATAGATCAGACTATGTATTGTGGAGACCTACAAGGCATGTGTGTGCTGGTCCAGAAGGAATTGAGGCCTACTCCACAAGACCCCTGGCAACCTCTTGGGCCAAAAGAGCATGTGCTTCCACCACAGGGGTCTACAGAATAGCGACATGGAGGAGGACTAACACCTTTATCAGACACTATAGAGAGTCTTCTGAAGAGACTTCCTTTGGCAGGAGCGTGCTGCAGACTGTAATCCAGTAATAACCTTGCTTTCTGAGCAATCCTGAAAATGTTTTTTCCTTTTCTTTGTTCTCTTACCCTCCTTACTCCTGTTCACTGCTTGCGTCTTCTCATATGTAGCAGAATTGTAGGAGATGCTGGGCTGCAGAATGGAAAATTTCCTACCTGATCATTTTGTCTGCTAGCAGCATCTCCCACAATTCTACCCACCCTGGATGGCTTGTCAGCTGAGGGTGAACATCTTATCTGGATAGTTACCTTCCAAGCAAGGACTTGCTGTACTTAGTTATTTGGTTGGAATTGGAATTATTGTTACTAATTATTTTCTACAAGTTTTTACACAGCTTTCGAATGAATCATCTGGCAGTAGATTGGAGGAGGAGGGGGTTTAGCTAGCACAGCTTTGAAATGTCTCTGCAAACTGCAGCCAGGAGAGAAATAGCTCAAATGTAGCAGAATTGTGGAAGACACTGCTAGCAGAAAGAAAATTACCAGGTAAGAGATTTTCCATTATCTACGTTTCCTCGTGCAGCTCTACTGATAGTGACCCTTCTATTGTGGTTACTATGAATAAGTTAGCACTGACATTTTAGCCAAAGTTGTCTAATCCTACTCAGAGTAGGTCTGGATAATGACTATGTAAGGGTGTTCTACATTAGTGCTCAACTGTTATTGCCAGTGCAGCTCTACCAGTGGTAGTAACAGTGGCAAAACTAAGGCTCAGACTACTGTAGACACAGGCTGTTCTTCAGTGTTTATAAAATTACTTTCCTAGCCTGCTGAGAGGAAAAATATCTGTTCCCCATTTAGACTATTAAGTCAAAGGAGACTCATTGTAATCCAGGACTGAAGGTGTGTATTACAGTTAGATGCTCAAAACGTTAGCAAAGCACAGTAAGGGTAACTCTAGTCATTTTCCATAACATTAATTCAAAGAAGCATTTAAGACTAACAGTCTTCAACTTGGAGTACTGTTGCTTTAACCAAACAATTGTTATATACCAAAACATACATCAAAAGCATGTTTAACTATTAACTATGCTGAGACCTTTGATATCATCTAGTGTGTTACTACTCATCTCTAGGCTCAATTCATGCATTAGTTTGGAAAGCATATCTTCCTCTGCATCTCCTGATGCAGTAAATTCCAATATCCCTCCTGTAGTAGAGAGTTGGTCCATAGGCTGAAGAATGGTCACTCCATAACCATTGTTACTATAAATGTGATTATTTTTCATCTTCAGTTTAGGGACAGGAACAACCTGTTAAGGATTCAAAACAAACTAGTTTTGAAGGGTGCATTGTGCTCTTACACACTTAAACATGGCATAAAAGAATGCTTGCACTGTTCACGTTCAAAAGAAACTCACTTTCCTTTATAGTTAAGTATTCCTCTCAAAATGGCAATGCCTTATCCCAAATTCGTAGACTCTCTCATAACGTTTAAAAGGGGCAACCTAATTCAAATCTGAAAAGACTGAGCAAATACATTTTAACTTCTAAAACTACTGATTTCAGTACTAAGACTAGTTTCAATTTATTGAAATTTGATTGAACATCCTTTGAAGCTTCCCACTTTCTACTGTTACCATATTTAAGCGAGTACCTTTCACAAAGTATAGTATAACTAGTAGCTTCAATCCATTCACCATATCCAGCTCTGCCCTAGCAACAGTTCACAATGGGTCTGAAATTGTCATTCTTCATTTTCTGACTGAAATCCTAATACTGCTGAGCAGTTTTGACAGCACAGCTACACAAGACACATGACCTATTCCATGTCCAAATCACTATTTAGTACAGATACTGATGAGAACATTGTGAAAAACTGTTTTGCTGAGAATTTAAACATAAGGAAATTTTACAAGATCTCCTTGTTCATTTATTGCTTATGTATTTATTTTTTACTCCTACAGCAATATCCATATTGTAATAGTCTCAATGACTACCAGATCAGTCTTGCTCAATTTTTTTTAAAGTGCCAGTTCCTACAAGCTCAGCCTGGTACCTGAAGTGAGTGATTAACCATTGGAACAAACTACAATGGGAAGTGGTGGTTTCTCCATCTCTTGATGGCTTCAAATCAATATTGGAGGCCTTTATGGAAGATATGCTTTAGTTCAGTCAAACAAGTTGTTGGGCTCCACACAGGAGTAACTTGGTGAAACTCAACAGCCTGTGATCTACAAGTAGTCAGAGTAGATAGGACCATTAGTCTCTAAGGTCGAATTTATAGAAGTTGATTTTTTAGAAAGCGATTTTATACAGTCGATTGTGTGTCCCCACTAAGCGCATTAAGTCGGTGGAATGCGTCCACAGTACCAAGGCTAGTGTCGACTTTTGGAGCGTTGCACTATGGGTAGCTATCTCACAGTTCCCACAGTCTCCGCCGCACATTGGAATTCTGGGTTAAGCTCCCAATGCCTGATGGGGGAAAAAATATTGTCACAAGTGGTTTTGGGTACATGTCGTCAGTCGCCCCTCCCTCCGTGAAAGCAACGGCAGACAATCGTTTCACGCCTTTTTTCCGTGCGGGCGCCATACTGCTTTCAGCAGTAGGACTGCTAACTGTCATCGTCATTCACAGCTTCCGCTGCCACTCTGCCCTCCTGATGCTATGAATCCACCTCGCAGGTCCTCTATATGACAGTCGTCATCCACCGCTTCTGCTGGCACTCTACTCTCCTGGTGGTCTTGCAGGGCCACTTCCGCTGCAACTCTGCTTGGCTACTCTTGTCTTGCCATACCACGGAAAGCGTGCAGCCCGCTCAGCTGTTGTGTCCTGGCAGCAGACGGTGAAGTAGGTCAGCAAAACTGGTCATCCAACCACCACTTCCCCTGCAACTCTGTTCTCCTGCAGACGCCATACCACTGCAAGCATGGAGCCCACTCAGATCACCGCGGCAGTTATGAGCATTGTAAACACCTCGCGCATTATCATGCAGTATATGCAGAACCAGAACCTGCAAAAGCAGGCGAGGAGGTGATGGCAGCACGGTGATGAGTGTTGAGGACATGGACTTCTATCAAAGCACAAGCACAAGCCCCGGCAATTTGGCCATCCTGGTGGCAATGAGGCAGGCTCATGCCATGGAACACAGATTCTGGCCCCGGGAAACAAGCACAGACTGGGGGGACCGCATAGTGTTGCAGGTCTGGAATGATTCCCAGTGGCTGCAAAACTTTCGCATGCGTAAGGGCACTTTCATGGAACTGTGACTTGCTTTCCCCTGCCCTGAAGCGCAAGAATACTAAGATGAGAGCAGCCCTCACAGTTCACAAGCAAGTGGCGATAGCCCTCTGGAAGCTTGCAACACCAGACAGCTACCGGTCAGTCGGGAATCAATTTGGAGTGGGCAAATCTACTGTGGGGGCTGCTATGATCCAAGTAGCCAACGCAATCACTGAGCTGCTGCTATCAAGGGTAGTGACTCTGGGAAATGTGCAGGTCATAGCGGATGGCTTTGCTGCAATGGGATTCCCTAACTCTGGTGGGGCAACAGACGGAACGCATATCCCTATCTTGGGACCGGACCACCAAGGCAGCCAGTACAAAAAACGGAAAGGGGTACTTTTCAATGGTGTTGCAAGCACTAGTGGATCACAAGGGACATTTCACCAACATCAACGTGGGATGGCAGGGAAAGGTACATGACGCGCGCATCTTCAGGAACTCTGGTCTGTATGAACAGCTGCAGCAAGGGACTTACTTTCCAGACCAGAAAATAACCGTTGGAGATGTTGAAATGCCTATAGTTATCCTTGGGGACCCAGCCTACCCCTTAATGCCATGGCTCGTGAAGCCATACACAGGCACCCTGGACAGTAGTCAGGAGCTGTTCAACTATAGGCTGAGTAAGTGCAGAATGGTGGTAGAATGTGCATTTGGATGTTTAAAAGCGCGCTGGCGCAGTTTACTGACTCAGTTAGACCTCAGCGAAACCAATATTCCCATTGTTATTACTGCTTGCTGTGTGCTCCACAATATCTGTGAGAGTAAGGGGTAGACATTTATGGTAGGGTGGGAAGTTGAGGCAAATCGCCTGGCCGCTGATTACACGCAGCCAGACACCAGGGCAGTAAGAAGAGCACAGCAGGCCATGCTGAACATCTGAGAAGCTTTGAAAACCAGTTTCATGGCTGACCAAGCTACAGTGTGACAGTTCTGTTTGTTTCTCCTTGATGAAAACCCAGCCCCTTGGTTCACTCTACTTCCCTGTAAGCCAACCACCCTCCCCTCTCACCTTCAATCACTGCTTGCAGAGGCAATAAAGTCATTGTTTCAAATTCATGCGTTCTTTATTAATTCATCACACAAATAGGGGGATAACTGCCAAGGTAACCCGGGAGGGGTGGAGGAGGAGGGAAGGACAAGGCCACACTGCACTTCAAAACTTGCTGAATGCCAGCCTTCTGTTGCTTGGGCAGTCCTCTGGGGTGGAGTGGTTGGGTGCCCAGAGGCGTTCTTGGTTGTTTGGGTGAGGAGGCTATGGAACTTGGGGAGGAGGGCGGTTGGTTACATAGGGGCTGCAGTGGCGGTCTGTGCCTTTCCTGCACCTCAATCATACGCCGGAGCATATCAGTTTGATCCTCCAGTAGGCCTCAGCATTGCATCCTGCTGCCTCTCATCATGCTGCTGCCACCTTTCCTCTTAATCCCGCCACCTGTCCCCTCGCGCGTCCCTCCTGTCCTGTCGCATTCATTTTGTGCTTTCCTGGACTCTGCCATTGTTTGCCTCCATGCATTCTGCTGGGCTCTTTCAGTTTGGGTGGACTGCATGAGCTCAGAGAACATTTCATCACACGTGCGGTTTTTTTCGCCTTCTTCTCTGCGCTAGCCTCCTGGGATGGAGATGCTAGTGGCAGCGTTGAAACATTTGCAGCTGTGGGAGGGGAAAAAAAGGGAGAATGGCCATTTAAAAGGAGGAGCTGATGTTTTCAGGTTAACGTGCAGCAGAAACCCAACTAACCCCCCATGCCCTCACACACCCAATTCTCTGGGATGATGGCTTCACCCCTCCCTGCACCGCATGGCTAACAGCAGGGATGACTTCTTTTCAGCTACAGGCAAACAGCCCAGCAGGAATGGCCACCTCTGAATGTCCCCTTAAAAAAATTCCCCTATTTCAACCAGGTGACCGTGAATGGTATCATTCTCCTGAGGATAACAGAGAGAGAGAGAATGGATGTTGCTTGAATGCCAGCAAACACCGGGACCACACGCTGCCATGCTTTCTTATGTGATGATTCCAGACTACGTGTTACTGGCCTGCCGTGGTAAACTGTCCTATCATGGAGAATGCAATAAGGCTGCCCTCCCCAGAAACCTTTTGCAAAGGCTTTGGGAGTACCTCCAGGACAGCTTCATTGAGATGTCCCTGGAGGATTTCCGCTCCATCCCCAGACACATTAACAGACTTTCCCAGTAGTTGTACTGGCCATGAATGCATTCCAAGTCTTCAGGGCAAATTAATCATTAAACATGCTTGCTTTTAAACCATGTATTATATTTACAAAGGTACACTCACCAGAGGTGCCTTCTCTGCCTTCAAGGTCTGGGAGCCTGCCTTGGGAGGATATTGGCTCCAGGGTGATAAACAGTTCCTGGCTGTCAGGGACAATGGTTTCTCCGCTTGCCTGGTTTGCACTATCTTCAACCTCCCCCTCCTCCTCCTATTCCTCGTCCCCAAAATCCTCATCCCTGTTGTGTGAGACTCCCTTGCAGGAGTCCACGTACAGGTGTTGGGGTAGTTGATGGGGCACCCCTTAGAATTCCATGCAGCTCATCATAGAAGCAGCAAGTCTGGGGCTCTGACCGCAAGCGGGCATTTGCCTCTTGGGTTTTTTGGTAGGCTTGCCTGAGCTCCGTAAGTTTCACATGGCACTGCTGCAGGTCCCTGTGATAGCCTCCGTGCTTCATGCCCTTGGAGATTTTTCAAATATTTTGGCATTTCGTCTTTTGGAATGGAGTTCTGATAGCACGGATTCGTCTCCCCATACAGCGATCAGATCCAGTACCTCCCGTTCGGTCCATACTGGAGCGCTTTTGCGATTCTTGGGACTCCATGGTCACCTCTGCTGATGAGATCTGCACAGTCGACTGTGCTGATCAGCTTGCCATGCTGGCCAAACAGGAAATGAAATTCAAAAGTTTGCAGGGCTTTTCCTGTCTACCTGGCCAGTGCATCCAAGTTGAGAGCGCTGTCCAGAGCAGTCACAATGAAGAACTGTGGGGTAGCTCCCGGAGACAAATACCATCTAATTGCATCCACACTAACCCAAATTCGACCCGGCGATGTCTATTTCAGCGCTAATCCCCTCGCCAGGGAGGAGTACAGAAATCGGTTTTAAGAGCCCATTAAGTCGATAAATATGGCTTCGTTGTGTGGATGGGTGCAGGGTTAAATCAATCTAACGCTGCTAAATTTGACCTAAACTCGTAGTGTAGACCAGGGCTAAGTTAAACTATGAAAACAAGCTGTATTGGCTCATGGGCAAAATGCTGTTACATGTACAATTGATGAGCACTGCCTTCTTGTGCAGATCATCTATAGTTCTAACCACACACAAAAAAGGATTAGCCTGTTAACTCATACTTAAGTCTTACAGATGGGAACTAAAATGTGACAGAAAAGGACCTACAAAAAATCATGAACTCAGGGTAAATTCTTAACTGTTGAGCAGAGCAAGTGAGATCATCTGTAACAACCAATCAAAGCAGTAATAAAGGGAAACTTCTTCACTACTTCTCTTCAGTGGAAATAAAGGTATATTGCTAATTCTAGTTAGCTAACCTGAGGTACAATTCTAGTGCAGGGCTTGTCTGTACTGCAGTGAACTTGAGTGTGATGGTGCTCACATTGAGTTGGTTGGCCCATCAACAGGTATAAGCTCAACTCAGCTGCTCACACTACCTTTCTGGAGAGTGATGAATGCAAACTCCACTCAAATGGCAACCTCTACTGACTTCCCACAATTTCTTTGTGGGCCCAGAAAGGAAAGACATGTTCTCCCACAATTCACTGGGAAAGTCATGGAGCAGCTAATATTACTGCAGCACAAAGAACCATGAAATCAGAAATCTTAAGTGCCATGTGTCAGTGCAGTGCTAGTGTGAACACAACAGCTTGAGTGTTTTGCAATGTGACCACTCACTCAAGCTAGGCTAACTCAAGAAGTAACTTGAGTGTAGATAACTCAGATTAATTCTGCAGTGTGTAGTTTTCACATGAGTAAGGCTAAGATTTTGTCATGGAGGTCATGGAAGTCACGGATTCCGTGACTTCCCAAAACCTCCGTGACTTCAGCCCGCAGCACCTGGGAGCTGTGGGGTACCCCTGTGGGCGGTAGAGGGACCCTGGAGCTTCGAACCGCCCCCACAACTGCCCAGTGACTTCCAATTTTGTCATGGATATTTTATTTGGATAATTTTGTCCGTGAATTTTTCTTTGTTGCCTGTGACCAGTCTGTGACTTTTACTAAAAATATTCATGACAAAATCTGAGCGTTACATACGAGGCAGCAGATTGAGTTAAAAACTATAGTGGATCTTGGGACTGCCTCTCTTTCCCCTAAAAACACCCCTTCCGTGCTGCCTCAAAAGAAGCCCATGCAGCAGGAACACTTCATCAATCCCTGCCAAGAAGCCTGGGCACAGGGACCCCTTCCAACCACCACCCAGCATACCAGCCTCTCACTTTCCTAGGTACCAAATGCCCTTACTCACGGTCAGCTCTCAGTGCTCTGATACTTAGCACCTCAGTAACTGCTGTACATTTGGTGTCTAAGAAGTTGAGAAGTGTGCTGGGACACTAGAGGTTGCCTGATAGGATTCATGAAATTCCACACTAACGGTTGATAGACGAGGACTTGAGTTTCGAATGTTAACTAAAGAAATGCAATTTTTAGAATAAACATGAAGTTCCTAATTTCTTTAGCTTCCACTAACTTCTGCATTTGCAACAGTACAGCTATTACTTTATAGAAGTGTCAGACAATTGCTAGGAGAATACAGCACAGTTAGTTACCTTAATATTAATTCCACCTAGGGCACCCTGTGAACTCTCACTGGTTTTGAAGTTATTGCAGTGGTGAATTTTGTTACCCTCCAAAATGGCTGTGCTTCCTGGGTGCAGCTCAACACCAGCACCCTGTACATTAAAACAAAAAAATTAAATCCTGAAAGTAAGGACTGCCACAGGAAAAGCATTCAGAGTTACAATCAAGTATATAAAAAGTGGTTCTGCAATTTCATATGAATATAAGATGTCAAAATTGGTCCACTGCAATTTATTATAGTGAGGAATGGAAACCCATAAAACTATGCAATTATGGGACCTTGCAACTACTGCTCACACTGGAATGAAGGGTGGAGTGGAATCGTTTACTATTCATTCCTTAGCATTTATTACTTTAAAATTACATCTTCAAGGATATATTTTAGTATCTACATCAAAGTGTTTTACATGTAAAAAGTACAAATATTGCTTAATAGTTCTGTTTGGTTTTTAATAAGTAGGAAAGCAACTCCCAGCTAACACTTAATTCCATAGGTGAGGATGGCACTCCACCCTAGTAACACCACAAATAAAAACGAGGCTGCTGCCCTGAAGAGCTTAAATGAATTAGCTACAGAAAACTGGAAGTTAACTGAAAATTACATGTAAGTTTTCAAAACAGAATTTGAACTTGAGGTATTTCCATTTGCAATTTAACAGTATTTGTCCTACTTTTTTTTTTTTAAAAAGCTTCAATATGCATGTTAACATTTTATACTTGCTTGCATATTAAATTTATTTTTTGAAATTCATTCATGCAGACTCAGTACCTGAGCTCCTGTAATCTCACTGTTTGTAATAGTCAGAGAAGCTCCAGTAAGCACACAGACTCCAGTTCCTTCACATTTCAATATACAGTTTACAAAAGTCATGTGACCAGATTCAACCACCACAATACCATCAACAGTCCCTCGTTGTACTAAAGTGAGGTGCATTAGTTTCACATTTTGGGCTTTGGATACCACAAAACTCTCATGAGTAGGCTCTGAAACAATCACAATTTCTTCTGGCTTTCCAGCTCCTAGTTGAAAGAAGAAAAGCACTGTAAACATTTATTTCCACACTATACAAAAAGCAGAGAATACCTTTTTGCTGTTTGGTTAACTCTTACAACATTTGGGTTAAAATGAGTATTTCTCAGTGAGGAGATTTTTTTTTAGTACCAAATTAATTACAACGAATGACTTGCCTATAAAAAATGGTTACCTACCTTTCATAACTGATGTTCTTCGAGATGTATTGCTCATGTCCCTTCCAAGTAGGTGTGTGCGCGCCACGTGCACAATTGCCTGTCTAGTCCTTTGAAGAAGCATCCAACCATGGGGTTAGCAAATACTGACCGTCCCACTGTACCCAGGTGGAAAGAGGAAATAGGAGCCAGGTGCACCTTCATCAATAAGACTGCCAGCCCCTGCTGCTCTAAGTAGAGTACATAGCCCAGCATAAAGGGAATTGAAGACTGCAGCGGAGGGGTGCTCTTCTGTGAGAACCAAATAGAGAACCTTTTCTACTTGGCCAGATAAGTGGCATGAGTGGAGGGCTTTCTACTGCCAAGGAGAATCTCCCTAACTGAATCGGAGCACTGGGGCTCTAACAAGTTTAGCCATGAAGTTTCCATGCTGTGAGGTGGAGAGACTCCAGGTTGGGGTGCTGGAGGCAGCCGTGGTCCTGCGTGATGAGGTCCAGAATAATGGGCAAGGCCATGGGCATGTCCACTGAGAGGTGTAACAGAGTGGAAAACCAGTGTTGGCGGGGCCATGATGACTCTGAGAATCAGCGATACCTTGTCCTGCCGGATCTTGAGGAGGACCTTGCAGACGAGAGGGAAAGGCGGGAATGTATACCGCAGGCACCCCGTCCACGAGAGGAGAAAGGCGTCTGCGATCAAGCCGGGGTTGTGGTTCAGGAAGGAGCAGAACTGCTGGCACTTCCTGTTGCTCTGTGTTGTGAACAGGTCTACCTGGGGAGACCCCCCACCCACCTCTGGAAGATATTGATTATGATGTCTGGGCGGAGAGACCATTTGTGGCCATGAAAGGATCTGCTGAGGTGATCGGCCAGTTCATTTTGTGAGCCCAGCAGCTATGATGCCTCGAACTGTATTGAGTGGGTGATGCAAAGGTCTCTCAATCTGAGGGCTTCCTGGCATAGGGGAGAGGAGCGAGCACCACCCTATTTGTTTATATAGAACATCACTGTGGTGTTGTCTGTCAACACCGTTACACATTTGCCCTGGAGATGGGCCTGAAATGTCTGGCAAGCTAGACACACCGCACACAGCTCCCTGACGATGTGTAGAGATAGTTCCGCCTAGGACCATAGATCTTGAGTCCTGAGGTCGCCCACATACACTCCACACCCCAGCACCAACACATCTGTGACTAGTAACAGCGATGGCTGAGGTTTGGAGAAGAGTACTCCTGCACAAACTACTTGTGGATTGAGCCACTAGTGGAGGGACTCGAGAACCCGAGGCGAGAGTGTGACCAGTCTGTATAGATTGTCCCGGTTCGGCCTGTAACTTGAGCCAGCCACAGGTGAAGGGGACAGAGCTGCAGTCTTGCATGCTGCACCACGTAAGGGCAAGCTGACATATGTCCGAGCAATTTTAGGCAATTTCGGGCCCTCATGGCGGGGAACTTCTGGAGACCTTCTATGATGGTGCTCATGGCCAGAAAACAAGACTTGGGCAGGAATGCCCTGGCCTGAGTGGAGTCCAAGAGTGCCTCAATTAATTCTATTCTCTGAGTGGGAGTTAAGGTCAACTTTGCCATGTTGAGGATGAGACAGAGTCTGAGGAACATCGCACGCATCAGGTTCACGTGTTCCTCCACCTGGGCTCGAGATGAGCCAGTCGTCTAAGTACAGGAAGACTTGTATCTGATGCTTTCGAAGAAGAGCTGCCACGACTGCCATGCACTTCAATACCCATGGGGCCGCTGATAGGTCGAAGGGGAGGACCATGAACTGGTAATGCGTGTTGCTGATCACAAATCGCAGAAACCTTCTGTGGAATAGGATTATGGAGACGTGGAAGTATGCGTCCTTCAAGTCAAGGGCAGCGTACCAATCCCCCGGATCCAGACAGGGAATGATGGAAGCCAGGGAGACCATGCGGAACTTCAATTTCTTCATGAATCTGTTGAAGTTTCGTGGGTCTAAAATAGGCCTAAGCCCACCCTTGGCCTTGGGGATTAAGGAGTAATGGGAGTAGAATCCCCTGCCCCTGAACTCCAAAGGAACCTCCTCTACCACCCCAAGCTGTAGGAGCATTTGCACTTCCTAAACTTAGAAGTTGGTCGTGAGAAGGGTCCCTGAAAAGGGACAGGGAAGGTCGGTGGGAGGGAACAGAATTGGAGAGAATCCCAATTCTAAGGTGCTCAGGACCCACTGGTCTGAGGTTATTTGAGCCCAGGCACAGTAGAAAGGGGATAGATCGTTCACAAAAGGAGGGGAAGGATCCAGGTAACGAACTGGTGTTCCCTCCTCGGGCACACCTTCAAAAGTTTGGCTTTGAGCTCAAAGGCTGCTTAGCCTGGCCCTGGCTGGAGGAGGACTGAGATGGGCACCTCCTATTACTTCTGCCCTGGTTCCTGCTATAGTCCTGTCTAAGAGGGGCAGAGTGGCGACCTAGGGCTTAAATGGCTTCCTTTTCTTCTCCAAGTGTGCAGCCCCAAAAACTTGAGGGTCACCCGTGAATCCTTAAGGTTATGAAGCCTTGAGTCTGTCTGTCTTCCACAGAGAGGCCGGAGCAGTTGAAGGGCAGATCCTGGATTGTATTTTGGACCTCATGCAGGAGCCTTGAGACCTGCAGCCAAGAGCTGTGCCTCAGGGTCATGGCCATAGTGTGGGTGGCCGAGTCTTGAGTCCAGGGCAGCCTGAAGAGAGGTCTTGGCAATCACCTTGCCCTTCTCCAGGACCGCCCCAAACTCGGAGCGAAGTCAGCTGGGAGCAATTCCTGGAACTTGGCCAGAGAACTCCAGGAATTATAAGCATCATGGCTCAGGACCACTTGCTGGTTCGCTATGCGAAGCTGGAGCCCCCCCTGGTGGAGTAGACTTTCTGACCGAAGAGGTCCAGCTTCTTAGAATCCTTGGATTTGGACATAGGCCCCAGCTGTCCCTGCCACTCCTTGTGGTTAGCCGCTCTACCACCAGGGTCCCCGCTGGGGGTGAGTAAAGAGATGTTCGTAACCCTTAAACGGCACAAAGTATTTATGCTCCACCCCCTCGGCAGGATGGAGGTGGGTGTATGCTACAGCGCCTTGGTGGTATTTTGTATAGTTTTAATGAGAGGCAAAGCCACCCTCGAGGACCCTTCAAGGGCCAGAATGTCCATCATTGGGTCCGTGTCCTCAGAGACCACCTCTGCCTGCATGTTTAGGTTCTGGGCCATCCTCCTGAGTAGGTCCTGATGGGCCCTGGTGTCCATAGGAGATAATGTGGTGGAGGTCCCTGCCACCGCCTCATCCGGGGAGGACGAGGATGACGCCCTTGGTGGTACTAAGTCTTCCTGACCCTCCAGCTCACAGAGATCCACTTGCATGGCAACCCCTTGAGTGGAGCAGATGACAGCTGCAGTACCCAGTGCCACAGCCACTATGGTGCCAGCGCCCGTGTCAGTATCCAGCCTTGACTGTTCGTTGGTCTGGGCTTCCACATCCCGAGCACGGCGAGGCTCCCTGGTGACAGAGGAGGTCGATAGAAGCATCCGAGCCCCTGACACCATCAACAGGGACCTGGAACTGGGCCCGTGGGTTTGGTGGTCTCATCTGGACCCATGGAGTCATGACCCATGGTCATTTGGGCCCATGGAGTCCAAAAGGGCCACTGAGTCGGCCCCTGCCACTGCGGCAGCCTGGACATTATAAGCACCAGCTGCCCTTTGTCCTATCTTGGGCTGTTCCAGGAGCAGTACCGGCTCTGCCGGGATGTGTAGGAGTCCACCTCTGAGGAGAATTCTGAGCTGACCTGGGTGATGCAGACCTAGATGGTGCCAGGGAATGGTGCCGCATCATAGGCTTGCCCCTATGACGGATGAGCGCTGGTGGCACTGTCTGTGCCGGAGCATGGGCCAGCAGGGCAGGAGACTGTGCCGTAATGACTATCAAGTCCCATTGCCACCTCAAAGGTGTCTGGCATGGAGGAAAGATCCAGTTCCTCCTCTAGCTCCTCCTGCACTGGGGAGTCCACCAGGACCAGACTCGACAGCCCTCCCCAAGAGGCCAGAGTCAACAGCGCCAGCATAGACAGGCCCGAGGTTGGTCTGCTGTCTTAGTAGGGGAGTGCCCCCTATCTGCGCTCTTCTTTTTGTGTGGCACTGAAGACTACGAGCAGTTCCTCATACTGGAGCTGGTTCTCGGTGCCGGGAATGGTGGTGCTGAGGTTCCTTAGATGAGTCTTTTCTCGGCGCCGTAGACTCCCACACCAAGGCTGGCATGCTACACACCTGGGCCAGCTGAGGGCGAAGGGCTGACTTCATCAAAAGGAGTTTCAGCTGAAAGTCCCCACTCCTTTTTGGTCCTGGGCTTAAAGCCCCTTCAAATTTTACTGTCGGAATGGTGTCCTCCTCCACTTGAGACAGGAGTCATGTGGGTTTCCCTTGGGCATGGGCTTGAGGTAAGACCTGCACGGCTTGAAGCCCTGAGACCGAGGCATGCCTCCGTCCTGGAGTTGCTGTAACCCTCAATATAAACTTAACTAACTATACTATTAACTAACTACAACTATGCAAACTTTTTACAGATAGAAGAGCGCCCACTAGGGAATCACTTGTGAATGCAAGAGAGGAGCTGCTCCAATGACCATCACTGGTGGTAAGGAACTGAAGAGGTAGCGGGTCAGCAGGGACCTATATACACCGCCATGAAGGCGCCACTCCAGGGGGCTCCACAGTCTATCTGACGGGTACCACTAGGAAAAAACTTCTGACGATCGTGCACGTGGCGTGCGCACACCTACTTGGAATTGACATGAGCAATCACTCAAAGAATTTAAGTTATCCAAATTTGTTCCCTCTCCAGACCTCCTTGTTTGATTGCATGTGCCATGTTGCACTGAACCAGGACCTATTAATGATACATATTTAATATGCTGGTCAAATGCCAAGTAAAAATAGCAAAACATTATTATGCTTTCCTCAGTCTTAGTTCTATAAGCCTGGTGCTCAAAACACAAAAGTTCTGAAGACGTGGAGAAATAAGTATCCCTGTGGAGATAAATTCTGATAACTCTATTTGCTAATACAATACGCAGCTGCACTGTTCTCTGTTAACAATTGAATGTGACCCATGAAGCCATAGCAGAAGAGATTTTTATAATCCACCTCCATTCTAGAAAATGTATCCGGAGCTTAGTCTCTCACAAACGGTCATCTTCTGCAATGTGTCCAAAGACATGAAACTTCCTTCTAACTATTCTGTGACGTTCCACCAATGGAGAGTCCTGAGGATTTAAAGAATATTCAGCAGAGCTCCTATATGATCCACATTTGGAGTGTATTTTGCTTCCACCACCACTGGATATCTGCGAGCTCCTGGCACCAATGAATGACCTACATCAGCAGGTTCCTTAAGAGATCTGGCTCTATATCAAAAAGGTTCACGTCAGAGCTGATGTTATTGGCGTCAGAGACTTCAGTACTCATAGAAGTCATGGACCCTGATCTGTTTTGAACTGACGTTATTGTGGAATTTATTCCTCATTTTCCTGGCTTTGAGTCTCGAAGAGGTCTACTCTATTTCTTCACAGGACAGCTGATTCAACATCAGAGTCAGGACTCGAGCTTTTAAAGCCTCTTTGATGAGGATGGCATAAAACCTCTGCTGCTTACTGGTGCAGACTTGAGATTTGAAGGCCCTGTACACAGTGGAGCAGTTTGGGGAACAGGCTTATTGCAAGCAGAACAAACAGCAAATGCATGTGTCTGCCTCAAGGAACCACGAAGGAAATAACATACGCTGCTTAAATCCACCTTTCTTATCAGAATCCTTGGAAGTGTGAGCAGCTGGGATCAAAAAATCAGAGAATTCTAAGTCCAAAATAAAAATAAAATGTGCAAGGCAACAACCATTTTACCCAATGTAATAAGTTAAAGTTTGGAATGAAAACAACAGAAGCCAATCGTTCATTCAAAGCAAAGAGAGAAGGCCCTATATCTTCAGCTGACGGCATAAGCAAAGGAATTGAGAGGGCTGGGTCTGCATAGCCTTTTGCAGTCCATGCGGTGAACATTTGCTGCTATGAGAGGACACTGATGTAGCCTTAAAGAAACTAACTGATCTGCAGAAGGGTCCCAAAGTTCAGCCACAGATCTCAAGTAGAAATAGGCTGAGGCCACCTCAAAGAACCTTAACTTTATTTCTCTATTCTGAGTTTGTTACTGACCATAATGCTACATTAACATACTTTGCATTTAAAATTACTTCGTTCTATTTATACAGTAAAGCCTGTCTTAAGTAAATATCTAAGGGATCAGCAAAGATTTGTTGAAGGGATGTTTTGAAGTGGTCTAATATTGTTGCCTGTTAGTGATCTTTAGCAGAGAGTTCACTGATAAGGTAGAATACATGATACTGTAGTATATGTTTTATTCTCACAAGTTAGTGATGATTACATTATTCACAAGTGGTCATTACACTCATAAGTAGCACCTCAAAGACCTTGAAAGGGAAGTTGATGGAATCTGGTTATACTGTGGCATAAAACAGGCAAGCCCATTAAGGCAAAGTGCCTGATGTAATCAAGAACGTCTGATACACTAGAATCAAAAATCCAAACTAGGAACCCAGGAACAGGTATAAAGCAGCCAACATTAAGGGCACAGCTACACTAAGAGTTTACAGCAGCTGCACCTCTGTAAGCTCTCTAATGGAGGTGCTCTAAGCCAGGGGTCTCAAACTCAAATGACCACGAGGGCCACCTGACTCATACATTGGCCCGAGGGCTGCCCCGGCCCCGCCCCCACTCCACCCCTTCTGTGAGGCCCCGCCCCTTCCCTGCCCCCATTCCAACCCTTTCCCTGAAATACACAAAAATTCACGGCCCGTGACGTGTCCATGACTTTTACTGTAAATACCCCTGACTAAATCTTAAAGGGGCTGCTGATGGAGAGTGGTCATCCCAGGGGATTTGCTGCTGGCGGGGCTGGGGCCAGCTGCTGGGGGCTGCCGACAGTGGCTGCAGTGGGGACCACTGCCAGGGGCCACCAGGGAAGCGGCTACTCCGGCCACCCGGGGACCGCTGCTAGCAACTGCACCAGCCGCCTGGGGACTGCTGCCACGGGACGCCTGGGAAAGCGACTACTCTGGCTGCCCAGGGACTGCTGCCACAGGACGCCTGGGAAAGCAACTACTCTGGCAGCTGCACTGGCCATCTGGGGAACGCTGCTCAAGCTGGCGCCAGAGCCACTCCAGCAGTGGCTGGATGTGGGGCTGCGCTGGTGTGGCTGTCCCCAGGGCCACCTGAGCAGCTGCTTTGGGGGGCCCTGGGGTCAGCCACACTGGCTCCCACAGAGGTCGTGGAAAGTCATGGAATCCGTGACTTCTGTGACAAACATGGAGCCCTAACAATGAATTCTTACTGAATGAATATATCACAAAATTCCTTATATACTAAATTCAGTTGCACAGTACTTTACACCAGGGGTGATTAGCACAACTTTTATTCTGTCTGATGTTTTCAGATTCAGTGTTACTAATCCCATTAGAATTCACAGTGAGTTCCTCCCTGCCCCCCTATTTACCTGTAGTAATTGCTGATCTGAAGGACTGCTTTATATAGTTACAATTTGTAAAGTTAAAAATAAGTAGAATGCACTGCTGACCTTGAATAACAATATCCTCAGTTAACATGGAGAGGTTTGCAGCCTTATATTCTCCCGGGAAAATAACCACACTATCGCCACTGTAACAGCTATCCAAAGCCATGTTTAAATTATCATGTTGTTGAAGCACTGTGTCAACAGAAAAATCCTTAACCTGTACAGGAAAGAGGGAGCAGCAACTATCAAGGTAAGACAAAACACACACAAACACCATGAAACTTTTGAATTAACAGCCAATCTTTTGAAATCTGCTACACTGTTGTTTCTTACATTGTCATTTACCTTTGCAGAGCTCATTTCAAACAGCAAGATTGCATGTTGGCTGTGGAGTCACACATTCCTGCCCATCCCAGGCCCCTGTGGAACATTCTCGAGCTTGCCTGGCTGCAGAGAGCAGCTTAAAGGGACTGACAAAAATGAATCTGCTCCTTTCCTCCCAGCTGCCGTCTTTTCCATAGCTGAGCTTTTTCCTCTGTAAGACCCTGTCTGATCTCCAGCCCCGTCCTGCTCCTTCCCCCTTAACTTGGGGATTAGTTGCTCAAAACAGAGTAGCCTGTAAGTTTGGAGTCATTTGGCTAAACTGTGGCAGCTGATCCCCACCAGTAGCTCCCCTTCCATGTTCTGTTGCAAGGAGAAAATCTTCAGCCCATGTGGAGACCAAGGAAGAATGCGCCTGGTCCCAGGTACATGAGGGGAGACTCGCCATTGCTGCTCCCCCTTGGCCCAAAACTCTTCATTGGAGGTAGGAGGTGCTCAGAATGGAGTATTGGGAAGGGGAAACTCAACCCTCATGTGAAAGGTACCAGGTAGATGGTCTCTGACAGATCGAGAGGAGGGGGAAGAGATATTAGGGAGTGAATGTGATATGGTTCAGTGCCCAAGAGTGTGTATGATAAGGCAAGAAAAAGAGATGGATGCATATATGTCATAGGGTGGCTGGCCCTTTTAAGGGGAGTCAGGGCCAATCTACCTATGACAGATTCTTTAAGGAAAGCAAGGCCATCTGGCAGCTAACTAGCTAACATATACCTGGGCCTGATAAAAGGCTCAGTTGGAGGGAAGTGCTCCCAAAGACTCTAGCACAGTGGTGGGCAGCCCGCGGGCCACATGCAGCCCACCAGGGTAATCCACTGCCAGGCTGTGAGACAGTTTGTTTACATTCATGGCCGCCCACAGCTCCCAGTGGCCACAGTTTGCCATTCCCAGCCAATGGGAGCTGCGGGAAGTGGCAGCCAGCATGTCCCTGCGGCCCGTGCCACTTCCAGCAGCTCCCATTGGCTGGGAACGGCGAACTGTGGACACTGGAAGCTGCAAGTTGCCATGCAAATGTAAACACTGTCTGGCAACCTGCCAGCAGATTATCCTGACGGGCCGCATACAGTCCACAGGCTGCAGGTAGCCCACCACTGCTCTAACAGGAGGATAACTATGGCCTGTTCACCTCCAAGCTGACGCGTGAAAGGAATGACTAAAAAAGGGCCAGGTAGCCTGAAGCTTAATCCTGCTCCAAGAGGAGAGCTGTGGATGTACTCCTCATCTGAGAAGCATGAGTTTGTTTTGCATGATAACCCAGCTCTGGGATGGGTGCTAAGAACTCCTGAACTTGGAAGAGCATTAGCCCCAAGGCCAGAAGAGGGGTTGGAGTTGAGGGGCTTAATGAGATGCGGCTTTTTATACTCTGTAAAAGGAGTTAATAAAACATCACAAAGAGCGTATCTTGTTCTCAGTTCCCAAGTCTGAGTAAATCATTGCATGACCTCAACAGAATAAGGGGGTGGCAGGACTGCAAGGCCACATCATGCCCCAAGTGGGCATGCTTAATGGCATCATACTGTTACAGTATATTATTGGCATAAGAGAATAAAAAAGTAAATGATGAAGAGAGGAGGAGAGAAAGATAAGGTGAGGAAGTGCACAGGAAAAAATTAAGGGGAGGGATTAGTAGAAGGAACAATTCATAATTAGGGCCCTATCAAATTCATGGTCCATTTTGGTCCATTTCATGATGATAGGATTTTAAAAATTGCAAATTTAATGATTTCAGTGATTTAAATCTGAAATTTCACGGTGTTGTAATTGTAAGGGTCCTGACCCCAAAAAAGGAGTTATGGAGTGGTTGCAAGTTTAATGTAGGGGAGGCTGCGGTATTGCTACCCTTATTTCTGCGCTGCTGCTGGTGGCGGTGCTGCCTTCAGAGCTGGGCAGCTGGAAAGCGGTGGCTGCTGTCTGGGAGCCCAGCTCTGAAGGCAGCACTGCTGCCAGTAGCAGTGCAGAAGTAAGGATAGCATGGTATGGTATGGTATTGCCACCCTTACTTCTGGCCTGCTGAGCTGGGCCCCCAGTCAGCTCTGAAGACAGCAGTGTAGAAGTAAGGGTGGTATGGTATGGTATTACCATCCTTATTTTAAGGGGCTCACGGTATTGCCACCCTTACTACTGCGCTGCTGCTAGCAGGGTGCTGCCTTCAGAGCTGTGCTCTCCGGCCACACAACTCTGAAGGCAGTGCAGAAGTAAGAGTGGCAATACCGTGAGCCCCTTAAAATAACCTTGTGACCCCCTTGCACTCCCTTTTGAGCCAGGACCCCCAACTTGAGAGATGCTGGTCTCCCCCCAGGAAATCTGTATAGTATAGAGTAAAAGCACACAGAAGACCAGATTTCACAGTTCGTGATGTGTTTTTCATGGCCATGAATTTGGTTGGGTCCTATTCATAATACAAAAAAAAAAAAAAAAGGAAAAACAAGATTAAAAGCAAAAGAAACAAAATCATGTGAAGGGAAAAGGTAGAGAGATGGAAGAATCTGCTCAAGACACGCCAGTTCTTCTTTGAGTGCTTGTTCATGTCAATTCCCATCAGGTGTGTGCACATTGGCTGGAAGATTTTTCCCTTAGCAGCATCTGTCGGGTCCGCCTAGGCGCGCCCTGGAGTTGCACCCTCATGGCACCTAATATATAGCCCTGCTGACCCGCCACCCCTTCAGTTCCTTCTTACCGCCAGTGACAGTGGCTGGAACTTCCCTTGGCTCTTGCTCAGCAAGTTTTCTTCACTATTCTGTTATATATAGTTAGTTCTTAGTGCTGTTTGAGTTAATAGTTTAGTATAATATAGTGTTAGTTGGAGGTTTTCCACCCCCACTCCGGCCTCAGCGCTGTGGTATGCCACAGTCCCTGGGTTTCAAGAACTGCGTGGCCTGTGCCAAGCGCATGCCAAAAAATGACCCATACTCGTCGTGTCTACGGTGCCTGGGGGAGACCCATCGGAAGATCGTTCTGCGAGTTCCGTCAGAGAACACTTAAGGAAAGGGAACCGTGGCTCAAGGTGATCCTCATGGAGGCAGCCCTATGCCCACTCCGACCTGGGCTCGAGGGACCCGACCCCTGCAGCGGCGTCCTCAACGTGAAGTGCCCAAGCGTCGTCAGCAAGTTCAGTGCTGAGGAAGGACTCTTCCAGAGACGCTCAGCACCACCACAGATCCTCACGGGGCCAGCCTGACAGTAGGCACCGCTCCCTCTCACCAGTTCCTCAAAAAAAAGAAAAAGCCCGACGACCATTCTCCTCTGGCTAAGCCACAAGACGTGCGACCCCAAGCGGGCCACTCCTCGGCATCTCCTTCCAGGGCCGTGTCGAGTCGAGTCCGGCCCCACCTCGATCACCGGCACCTACGCAGCAGCTGCAGCTCCCGTCCATTCTGGAAGCGTACCAGGCTGCTCAGGACCTCCTCCACCTGACGGCACCATTCTCGCTTGCCAGGGAGGAACCCTCAGCGCAGACGGAGCCACGTCCTCTGGTACACTCTAAAGTGAAGCTGGCTATGATGTCTAGATGCTCCCCTTCGCGTCGACCCGTTCCGACAGAGAACTTATTCACTCCCCGAGCTCTCGACATTCGAGGCATCGAGGATTGGCTCCTCCATGGTCTTCAGTGTCTGAGACCTCGGAGTCAGAATCCGACTCCTATTGCTTGGGTAGGAGAAAAAGTCTTAGAGCGAGGTCGGGTAGAGACAGAAGAGAGCCTCAGGCGTGGCCTCTGCAGTGGCAGAATCCACCTCAGTGGCCCTTCTGGAGCTCCTGGGCTTTTCACCACGGCCAGGGAGGAACCCAGGACAGACGCTCAGCAACATCTTCCATGGCCTCCGCCACTTTCATACCGCCTTCCATTGCGCATCTGCCCTTGGCGCCTCCAGCTCCGTCGTGGACTCCGGCCCCATGCTCAGCTCCGACTTCGGCACCAGCCTTCATGGCATCGATGCACCCGTCTCCCACACCTGCACCACTGTCAACGCCTACCTCGATGCAGGCACCTATGGCCCCGGTACCAATGTCGGCACCGAGCCCCCCGACACCAGCGGCTCCTGTGAGCGTGCCAACGCAGCTCCCTCCAGTGAGACTGATGCACACGCCAATGCCTCTTCTGATGCTTATGGTCCCGGCACCACTTCCTCCAATGCTGCCCCGGGAGTCACGTGACCCCTCCTGGGCAGATGGAGGGAGCTTCCACTACCAACACACGCTTCCTCCTCCTCGTCGCCGGATGAAGCATTGGCGGGGATGGTCATAGCTCCTGCATTGGAGGACAACAGAGTTCTGCAGCAATTGCTCCGTAGGGCTGCCCAGGGTCTGGGTATCAAGGCTGAGGAAGTGGTAGAGGCAGATCCCGTGGTGGACATCCTAGCACCCTCGCGACCTTCACATGTAGCCTTGCCCCTCATAAAGACTGTTGTGGACACCACTAAGACCCTGTAGCAGACGCTGGCATCTTTGCTACCTACTGCCAAACGCAATGAATGGTGGTATTTCGTGCCTTCCAGAGGGTTCAAGCATTTATACTCCCACCTGCCTCCGGACTCGCTGGTGGTTGATGCGGCTAACCAGTGGGAGAGACAGAGTTTCCAAGATCCTTCCCCAAAGAATAGGGACGCTACACACCTTGACCTTGTGGGTACGAAGGTCTACTCGACTGGTGGTTTGCAGCTTCGTATTGCTAACCAACAGGCCACTGTGAGCAGGTACTCTAAAAATACCTGTGCAGCGATGGTGAAGCTTACCCTACAAGGTCCAGCAAACCATTCAGGACCTCCATTCAAACGGCTCCACAGCCTAAAAGATTCCCGAACCACCCTCAGATCTTTGGGCTTACACACTCCCACCACACAG